CAAGAAAGGTCAAAGGTCACCGTGCGGCGACGTGCTGCGGCGGCGGCGCCCACCGACCTTTTTGAAGACGGTCGCCACGGAGACGCCGGAAGTCCCGAGCGGGCCTTCTCCCGCGCTTGCTGCGGGCGAAGGACGTGGAAGGCAATGAAGACGCTCGGCGAGACGACGAGTGCGGGGCGGGGGGGGGCGAAGATGCGCGCGGCTTACCCGTCCGGGTGAGGTTGACAGCGACGTCGTCCTTGTGCTCGTCCTTCCTCCGACGGTAGAAGCGAAAAAACTCCTGCGCGCACCCGCGTGGCCGTCACGCCACAGAGCAGAGGCGCGCGGGTGTGCGTGCGGGTACGCGCGCGGATACGCGCGCGGGTACGGGCGGACCTACCAGTTTTGGCAGCGCGGCATACGCCAAGATGGAGACCAGAATGACGACGCAAGCGCTGATGAAATAGCCAAAGGACGCCTCCTCGACGCTGGAGCCGCCTTGCCGGCGAGGGGGGGGGGATGGGGGGGGGCGAAAAGGAAGCCGGGTGACGATGGGAAGACATCGAGGACGTGGGAAGGCGACGGCCGATCGTACTGGCGATGGCGCAGATCATAGCCAGGGCGGCGAAGGTCCCGGCGAGTCCTTGCCCGCTCATGATGGGCGCCGTGTAGGCGGCGGGGAGGGCGCCGGCCATGCCGAAGAGACTCCCCTGCAGCACGGCGCCGAAAGCTGGCCGGGAAGAGAGAGAGAGAGAAGGCGTCGGTCGGCGTCCCGCCGCCGGGGCCACGCCCCCTCCCTGCCCCCGCGCCCCGCTCACAGTTGATGACGACCACGCTGAGCGCGGTGACGGCGAAGAAGGCGGCCGGCTCCAGCCGGACTTTGACCAGGACGGCCGTCAGCAGGAAGACGGCCAGGATGAGCGCCAGGCTGCCCGCCACGCGCGCGCCTTCGGGAACGCTGGCGAGAGCCAAAACTCCGGTACTCGGCCGGACGGACGGACGGACGGGGGGGGGGGGTGAGCGACTTTTTGCGCCTTACCGTGCGTAGAGGAAGGAGTTGAGGCAGGTGAAGACGAGCAGCGGCGTCATGGCGCACAAGGTCATCACGTTGTTGAATTTGGCCTCCAGGACGCTTCGCTCGGGCTCCGCCCCCACCGCCGCCGTCCCGTTGCTCGACTCCCTCAGCCGGCCGGTGAAGTACTGGGCGCAAATCAGCTGGGTTTTTTTTTTTTTCCCCCCCTCCCTTCTCGGTCTCCCCCTGCGCCGCTCGCGGAGACGCCAAAGCGAGGTCGTACCGCGGTGGCCGTCATGAAGAAGTTCCACGGCAGCAACGTTCCCAAGCCCAGAACGAAGAACGCCAGCCACACCGCCCGCAACCTGCCGCGCCCACACAGCCGTCAAGCCGTCCGTCTCGTCCGTCGCTCGAGCGACCGACCGACCGGCGGCGAACGCACTCACTTGTCTCTCGGGGCGTCGGCGGCCATTTGGAAGACGGATCTGATCGGCGGGGAAAAAAAAAAAAAAAAAAAAAAAACAACCCCAACAACAACCCACGGAAAGATGAAATCAACCCAACGAAATGTCGCTGACCTGCGATGTCGCCGAGATTCCCCAGCGCGCGTCCTCCTTCCTCGTCCGCCTGAGCGCAACGTGGCCTCCGATGGCGCAAGACTTCGGACTTTGCTCGCTCGCCGATAAGACCACCGACGCACGCACACGCCCCGTGACCACTCATGACTCCTTCGTCGCGTTGGCCGCTCAGTCCGTCGCAGAAGCTAAGAAAGGATGGAAGAGGTCGAGAAGGAAGGATGTTGTGCGTCGCCCACCCACACACACCCCCCCCCCA